CCAGGAACTTGACAGGCTCAGATGCGAACGGTATCAGCTTATCAGCAATGTAGAGATGGGGGTCCACCAGTTTCCCAGAGGAAGCCTTGAGCGCCAGGCTATGGCATTTGGGGACCTTTGCCCTCATCCCTGACCAGCGGAGCCATCTGTCGACGAGATGTAGGACAGGAGGATGGTGAGCTGGCGATGAGGCATGTATCATCTGCATACTGGAGCAGGCTTATGGTCTGATTCTCAGTAAGGCAATATCCCAGATCTGATCTGGACCTGATGGTGTCCACCATGGTGTTGATCACGGTGTTAAAAATCACTACTGACAGTGGGTCTCCTTCATACACTCCAATTTCCAGTGGGATAGGACCACTGGGATGAGTTGATGGTTGCAGCAAGATTGGAGTAGACATTTTTAACAAGGTGGAGAAACTTGGGTGGAGCATGGTAGTGTTGGAGGGAGAAAGTTATGAGGGAATGGTGGACGCTACCATACTCATTGGCAAGGTCTAGCCAGCAAACTGCTAGCGATCTGTGCCTCTTCTGGGCATCGTGCATGGCTGTTGCCAGCTTGAGATGGTGCTCTATGCACCTGGGTGTCTGGGGCATAAATGCCTTCTGGATCCGTCTGTCCAGATACTTGTTCGACAGCATGAATGACAGCCATCGATGACAGAGTATTGTTGTGAAGAGTTTGCCCACACAGGATGTTAGAGCTATGGGCCGGAAGTTGTTCGGTAGGGTGGGGTCATCTTCAGCAGCCTGCTTCCCTATCAGCTTCACTGACGCTGTCTTCCACTGCAGAGGCACAGTTGACTGTGTCCAGCAGGTGTTGAAAAGGTCGTGCAGTGCTACCACCAAAGCAGGACACTTTTTGAAGACTAGGTAGGAGATGCCATCAAGTGGGCAAGGAGCAGATCTGGCCTTGGATTTTCTGCCCACTGCTGAAATCTCCTCCATGGTGATCTCCCCAGAGTTGAACTCGGCCGCAGGGGCAGGGGGAGGTGACATCCAATCTGGGAGGGAGAAGGACTGCGGCTCAGCGTGGTAGGATGTCAGAGACGATGATGAGCCATCTACTCTCTCTCTCCTCTCCATTCTTGGCTACACTCTAAAGTGAGTGTCACTATTCGTTTCGTGTAGTGCACTAATACCATAGCCTGTGTATTGCCGTAACACGGTTGTGTTCCCTGCTGAAGCCATTAAACTCCCACAATCCGTGTCTGTGTAGGCATATATTATCAAACTCTCTCAGGGCTGGCGCGCAGTGCGAGTCAATGTTCTTCACTACCTCATAACATAGGCATATAAATGCTGCGAAGTACACCAATAACACTTATTAATGATCTCTCATTTCTGCGGCCAGATAGATTATTGCTATCAATAGGACGCCAATAACAATCTTATGTCCCTTATGCAGATTTGAATTCCAGCAATAAACAGCAACAAAAGTAGCAACTTCAAAATATCCATATAACTGGGAATCTTAAAATAGACACGACATCTATCTTTCAACCCTCCAATAACATTCTTTCTTGCCTTATATTTCGTATACCCCAACCGATATGCTTCTGTTGCAACAAACATGTTGGTAAACATAACAAAATTGAAGAACTCGAAGTTAATTGGATAAAAGATAACAACAGGTGCGTTTAGGTTGGTGTATGTTTGCACAAGAAACACGGCACTACTGAAGCCAGCTAGAAATACGTATAGAAAAGAACGCCATCGAAAAAGTGTAAAACATTTAATGAAAGTATACGTCCTTGAGCTTGATATTTGAAAGGCTATATCCACAGCATATTCCTGGCAGCTATAACCAGAAGCCATTGGCTCATTCTCCTGGACTCTTTGCATGTGGGTCTCCCGCTCCTTACGCGTAACCCATCCAACGTGATGTAAGCTATACTTTTCTTCAATTGATTCCTTTGATTTTGGTTTGAACGGAAGAGCTTCACCATGACCAGAAATTACAGCACCAACTGCATGTGTCACAAAATAACATTCGCTATTCTCGCACAAATAAGCCACTATCCAATGGGATGTTGTATCAGACGAAGCTTGACTAGTGTTTCTTGTTTGCGTTGTCACATTTTCTGGCCAATGAAGAGCTTTGCATTGGTCTGCATGTGGCGTCCAATCAACATCTTCCAGACAACAAGGAAGTACGGAGCCGCAAATAAATATGGCAGGTAATATCCCAGTGTGGCTATGACCAAACACGAAGATCCGAAGTAACGGTCAAACTTACGAAACAATAGAACAGTTCCAAGCAGGCAAAGAGAGCTACTCATTGAGAGGGCAAACAAATCCATCGTCAAACTTACTGGCAACGCCCTTCGAGATTTGATTAACTAGCACATTGCTAGCTAATACTCCATTACACACTACCGTAAAGCTGAATGTGGCCAACGCCCCTGTGATAAATCGACGCATGAATCTAATCACACTAGCTACTCGGCAAATTTACTGAGTAACAATAGTAGCTACTCCTAGCGAATTCACCACTACAGAACTTACGGTGGCCAGAACTACCCCGTTCTTTAGCGCATGCGCAGAAAGCGCAATACGCCGAAAGGCGGGCATCGGCCATCGATGCGTCTGGACAACTGGGATCACGCGCTCCTGCTTACTACGAGAATGTTTTTAATTTGCTTTTGAGATGACCCTCGGTGCAAGAGGAATACGCGCACAGCAGACTGAGTGGTAGTTCAAAAGTTCATGAAAAGCACAAGAACACTATACCTCCATGAACGTGGAAATGCATTGGCCATTTCACGGCCCAACTTGCTTCAAGAAATGGCAATATCTCAGGAACGTGGCTGTGACATGACAGGAAGCAACTTGCCTATGGAAGGAGGTGTCACAAGAGAGACTGGAAGGAGTGGTAGCTGCACAGAATGACATGATATCACACTTTGTGATCAAGAATAAATCGGCACCTCAGTGAGGCGGACAGTGACAGCTCTTGGTGGTGCCATTTTGGATGACGTTAACGGATTGCCTTTCGGCAGTACAGGTGCTCCCGACCACCACTCTCTCCCCTGTTTAGACCTGCGACAGGAGGCAACTATACATGGGGAGACTTGTCAGGGCAAGAGTTCACAGCCTAGTGAACGAAGCATAGTCCACCGGAGACCTAACTTTTCAAAGTGCCATCAGGATCGAGTGGAAAGCAATTTGTGGCTGAGCTAGCACGCCTCTACAAGGCATTTGCATCAGAGTCAGCTCTGGCTGTAGCAATGACAGCCGCCATGACCTTTCCTGCATTGCTTCACAAGCCACACTCAAAGTCCAAAGTGCAAGAACACATCGCATCCCTCCGACGTCAATTGTCCTTATGGAAAGAGGGGGAAATAGCCGAATTACTCAAGGAAGGGAGGGCTATTCAGAGGTCACTGCAAAGTTCAATGGCCCCAAGAATGCAGGAGAGAACGCCGTGGTTACATGAAAATTCTCTAACGAGGCGAAGGAAGAGGTCAGCATCCCGCCTGGTATATACTACCACAGGCAACAGATGCAGTGACTGGCAGCTCGCACAGGAGGCAGAAGAGACCGTCTGCCAAAGGCCCACGACCAAAGGATCAGGATACCTGCATGTACTGTGGGACCAGAGGGCACGGGAGGAATCCCCCAACGAGAGTCAGGAGAAATGAATGTCCAGCCTATGGCACCAAGTGCAACCGTTGCGATAAAGACCACCACTTCGAGAAGTTATGCAGGAGCAAACACGTCACGAGGCCGGCAAAAAAAGCCGAGCACGAGGACGCAGTATTCGAGACACTATGCGAGATCACGTCGACGGACAGCACCAAAAGCGCCGCCCTAGACCACCATGTCTTTGACGAGTTTACAAAAGAGTGGTTGAGGGGACAATCCAAACCTCAACCATACATCAGGCTACAGGTGAGCACCCGGCGGGAGGACTACAACCACCTCAGGTTTCCCCTCAGAGTACTACAAGGGTGGTCCTTCGTTAGTGCCATGGCCGACACAGGCTGGCAAAGTTGCCTAGCGTGTCAGAAACTCGGCCTCTCCACCAGAGACCTCATCCCCGTCGACATCAAGATGCACGCAGCGGACAGCCACGACATACACATCCTGGGTGCCGCCATACTGAGGCTATCAGGGAAAAGCAACAAGGGCGAAGAACAAACCACCAGACAAATGGTCTACGTGATTGACAACACTGACAAGCTATTCCTCAGAAGGGAAGCATGCGTAGACCTAGGATCATCCCAAACACATTCCCTGCAATGAATGAAGGCGAAGGTACCAACCCCGCCAATGCCATTAGCACCACCGACACCTCCCTACCACATCAGGAATGTCGATGCCCGAAGCCACCACCAATCCCTACCTCCCTACCATACCAAGCCACAGAAGCCAATACGGAGACACTCCAGCAATACCTCCTGGACTGCTGCAGCTCCAGCACCTTCAACACCTGTGATAACCAGACCCTACCACTCATGGACTGTACAGCCCACCGATGAGACTAATGATCGACCCACACGCAACCCCCACTCACCCATACCAATACCTCTCCACTGGCAAGATGACGTCAAAGCCGGCCTAGACAGAGACGTGAGATTGGGAGTGCTGGAACCCGTACCAATTGGAGAACCAGTCACATGGTGCCACCGCATGGTCATCTGCGCAAAAAAGAATGGCACGCCAAGAAGGACAGTCCTGCCAGTTTGGCCTCCAGCCTCTGGTTTGTGAATTCTGCATGCAAACAAATACTCTGCAACGTAAAAGCAAGCTAACGAGGAGGAGGGAAAACAGTCCAACGAAAATTCTGATTACCTTGACTATACATTATAATTATACATGTATAGTGTAAATGTCCTTCTAAACTTTTCGTACTTTTTGCAAGAAAGTCAAAAGAAGGAGAGACCAACTAACCAACTTGAATACGTTGACAATAGCTGAAGCATGCAGTATAATTAACCATTAAAGAGTTGCTGTTGAGAAAAAAAGTGGCCTAAACTTCGATAAGAAACTGAAACTATTACACACAAAAACTGTAGTGCTTTTTTAGTTGGTAGTTATTATCGCAGCCTGACCTCCTGTGTGAATGGAACAAACGGCCTAAAAAAGCACAGGATTCCTTAGTAGATGCGATTGTTGTACAACAATCGACTTCCAACCTCTCAACACCTATGCCACCAGAGAGACACACCACACCCAGTCACCCTTCCACCAGGCGTGATCAGTCCCTCAAGGGAAGAAGAAAACTGTCTTCGATGCATGGAATGGCTACCACAGTGTACCCCTTCATCCGGACGACCGACACTACACCACTTTTATCACCCGCTTGGGGCCGCTACAGATACCGCACAGCCCCACAAGGTTACATTGCCTCAGGCGACGGATACACCAGGAGATACGACGAGATCACCTCAGCCATCCCAAACAAAACCAAATGCGTAGACGACACTCTCCTATGGTCTGACACAATAGAAGAAAGCTTATTCCAAGCATGCAACTGGTTGGATACCTGTGGCAGACATGGAATCACCCTCAACCATGAGAAGTCCAGTTTCGCCAAAGACGAAGTCGAATTCGCAGGCTTCGAAGTCACCAATGACACTGTGCAACCATGCAAGAAATACATCAGGGCCATCTCCAACTTCCCCACCCTACAGAGCCTAACGGATGTAAGATCCTGGTGAACCAGGTGTCATATGCATTCAGCATGGCCGACACGATGCTACCCTTCAGGGAACTACTCAAGCCCAGCAACAAATTCCACTGGGACGACACACTACACAACAAGCATTCGAGAAATCTAAGCTAACCATCATCGATGAAATCCTCAATGGAGTCAAAATCTTCGACAAAACCAAACCCACATGCCTGGCCACTGATTGGTCAAAATGTGGCATCGGTTACTGGTTGTTCCAGAAACACTGCTCCTGCCCCTCCAACGACCTCTTGCTGCAAACAAGGCTGGAAGATCACCCTGGTGGGCAGCAGATTCACACACGCTGCTGAATCCAGATACACACCAATCGAAGGTGAAGCCCTAGCAGTGGCAGATGCTCTGGACAAAGCAAGACACTTTGTCTTGGGATGCAAAAAACCTCACCATCGCAGTAGACCACAGACCACTCTTAAGGATATTTGGCGACAGATCCCTAGACAACATCTGCAACACCAGGCTGAGGAACCTAAAAGAGAAAACCCTAAGATACCACTTCAAAATAGTTCACATACCGGGTGTCAAAAACAGGGCCCTCGACACCCTCTCAAGACCCCACAAGTGATTACCACCCACCCATAATGGTCTTACATGACGATGACATACACAGCATCCAAGATAGCACTGCCATCCCTCCTCCCCACATCCCCACCCAACTCATAGCTGGCATATGCACAGCCGACCAACTACATGCTCTCCGGACGGAAAACCAACTCCAGGAGCCACTTCTATCCTCCTTACATTCCATACATACCGTCAACTGGGAACAAGTCCAAACTGCTACATCTTCCAGCGACAACATGCTCCTCCTCCTCTCCACCATTGAAGATGGCATCCCTGAATTCAAACACCAACTACCGCCATCTATCAGAGAATACCACCAATTTAGGAAGCATCTATACAGCAGTGACGGCAAAGATCGAATTGTCATCCCACCCTCCCTACGACCTTCATGCCTATCCGCCCTGCATGCCGCCCACCAGGGCACATCGGCCAAGGCAGAAGCATCAATCTTCTGGCCTGGCATCACAAACGCCACCAGAGGCAATTGCCCACACTGCAACAGGATGGCCCCATCACAGGCGGCACTACCACCCACACCCCCCACCCTACCGGAGTACCCATTTCAGTGCATATGCGCAGACTACAGACCACACTTACACCTTGTCATAGTTCACCGATACTCCAACTGGCCTATAGTGGAGAGAGCCAAAGACAGAGTCCGAGGACTCATTAATGTCCTAAGACAAACCTTTGCCACCTATGGCATTCCAGATGAACTCTCATCAGACGGTGGTCCTGAGTTCGTAGCCCACACCACCAGGCAATTTCTACACCACTGGGGGATACACCACCGCCTTAGCTCTGCAGCGTTTCCCCATAGCAACTACAGAGCTGCGGTAGTTTCACCACAAAAGGGCGTGAGAGTTTTTTCCTCTTGTATTAAACGTTGCAGTGAGCACCCTCATACCAGTTCCTCATCAACTAGCATTTACCATTCTCCCTCTAAAATATCTCTATCAATGGGCAATTGTTTCCTTTTACCTTGTGGCAGCCACAAATTTATACGTGTGGGTCTCCTTTGAACTTCCTTCAGGTAGGGCAGCACAGAATGATAATCCGACACATTATCTGACAGCTCTAGCTATATAATACTAGGAATGCGCACGCGCATATTTTGCCTCGCGCCTGTCGTCAGCCAATGCGCGTAACTGAGGCCGCTCGTGCGCGCGCTCTACTGACTGCGCGCCTTCCTACGAATCTGCGCGCACGGCGGAAGCGAGACTTCCTACGAATGACGGAAGTGACATTCCTAAGCGTGACTAATTACATTCTTAAGCGTGACGACACGTACGTACGTGCGAGAAGAGTATATAGTTGCCTCACGCTAACGCGCTCGGCAATGAAGAGGACCTTCAACCGAGTTTCAGCCTCGGCTTTGTGGGGTTGGCGTAGACTAAGAGTGTGCTGCCGTGGCCTGGGAAAACAAACGCGCGAAAAGCTACTGGCGGCTGCTTCCGCCCGCCAAAAATGTGGTCCGCGAAAGCGCGCCGCGATTTCGACCGACGCATCGGGATAATTATAAGCGTGCGTTGTGAAGTATAAACGACAGTGGGCGTAGTAGTCTCTCTCGCTCATAGTAGAGTGCCAGTCCTCATGTTGTATAGATATAAGTCAAATGGTGAGAGAGAAAAATATTTTCACAGTGCAGACCGAGGTTAGGACAATTGAACAAGATTAGCACGATCTCTCTAGTTGTGACGAGATTGTATACAGACTCCATCACATCCCATTTTTAGAGTTGGAGATTACGATGGTGATTCTGGCATTGTTGTTGAGTGTCTTCTTGCCAGTTTACTCTCAGTCAGTTTCTACTTATCTCTCATTCCGGGGAGAGAATCCTCTGCCCAACAATTCCTATGTGGATATTAGTCGGGTGGTAAATCAGCTAAATTACAGTGTGCAATGTCACACCCAGTTCAGAAACTGCTGTAATGCAGCACTAGGTGAACTTGGAAACTGGTTTTTCCCCAATGGGGTAAGATTAACAACCATAGCGGGTAACAGTATTTACCAGAGTCGTAGACGTCAGAGTGTTTACTTACTTCGCAATGGGGTTCGTCACCTACTGGTATGTATTGCTGTGATATTCCATACGACTTCTCAGCAGGAGAGAGGCTCTGTGTTGGACTATACACTGGAAGAGGTACATGTTATACCTATGAGTATTGCTGCTTGGGAGTCAGATCAAAGAACTCATTTCTGCTGAACCTGGCATTAATTTTGTAGCTCACAGCAGTGCACTTGTCCAGAACGCAAGAGGTTGTATATAGGTTTTAATCCCACTGGTGGCACGGATTACTTTTCTTCTCTCACCTCTCTTCCACCTTCCCAGAGTGAGGCCAGCCAATTAATCTCAGGTCACCTAGTAAAAAGCTATCCGTGCCAGTGTTCATACACTTATATTACTTTGACTTTAGGCATACAAGTTTAGTTTGACTTTTCTCTGTTCTAAGCACATGAATTGATTTGAGTCCACACTTATATTTTTCCCCTCAAGGACTGAATATGAAACTTGCTGCTATACAACTGACTGTGGACTCTGATCTGAATGACGCTCGTCCTCAGTTCACCCTCACCTGTATCTCCACTGGTGGACCTGCTACCACTGTCACTTGGACCAGAGACACCACCACTGTCACACAAGGATATATGACTGTGTTAGTCGACACAAGAACAGCCCAGTACATCCACACTTTGACTGTGACTGGAAGAATGCCAGGGCTTTACAACTGTATTGTGAAAAACAACAAACCATCAACTACATCAAGAACTTTTACTGTAAAAGGTATTTGCCACTATAGCATTAACATTACAATTACATGTTTTTTTCATTTAGTTGCTTCAGTACCAACCAACCTTGCATCAGTTGTAGCTGGAAATGACTCCACTAATATCCATTTGACCTGGACTCCTCCCACTCCACTGGCAGACACCACTGGGTACATGATCTCCTCCACTGGAGGAGGGAACAGTAGTAGTGTGGATGTTAGTGGTGGCACCACTGACAACTACACACTGACTGGTCTTACGAGGGGAGAGATGTACAACATATCCATTGTGGGAATATCTGAACACTTCTTCAGTGAGAGTGTGGCATGGGACACAGTCAAACTTCCAGGTGAGTTTTAGTAAAACGGTAAGTTGCGTGCAATAAAAGCTATTATTGTTGTGTCTTGTGGTGGAGAAGAAAGAGAAGTAATGAATGAAAAAGAACAAGAAAAAGGAGGGAAAAGTAATAGCGGAAATGCTGGATCAATAGCTGCTGGAGTTTTGGTTCCTCTTATATTGGTAGCTGTCATTGCTACACTTGTGGTTGTAACCCTAATCTGGTTGAAGAGGTATATAAGTCATATTTCATGTCTATTCTCTTTTAGTCTGTGTCACAGGAGGTGTATCCAGGGACTCTTTGGTTCTCCATCTGCAACCACTTCAACTACTAGTAAGACTGTAGCTTCAGAACATTTTTCTTAGACCTGGTGATGGTATTGTGAGCTTAAGTCAAAAGAGAGCCGTCAAAAGAGAGTGGAAAGACCAACTAACTCTGGCCTAGAGAGTGCCATGGCAATTTAGCTCTCTCTTCCCCAGAACAATTTATAGGTCTTCACTCCTTCATCCCTATAGTAAACCACCAGTTGCACATTCAGATACATTCATACTAGTGGCACATGCTTATTACCATGAAAATGTCTGACTAAACAATTATATTACCATTTGTGGTTAGCTGTAAGTGAGAGTGACCAGCTTTTTCTGGGCAGTAGTTTGGCTTTCTGGACTCCCATGGTATTCTAATGTAGAAGTTGGTTTTTGCAATTACCTGCCCTCTTTGACCTCAACTATAAGTTCTAAAACCTATGATTGTGATATCATTCATGTGTATGCTTCTCTGCAATGAATTGCAAGCCACGCAGTGTTTGGTTTTTTTACCTCTGTAATAATGTTTGTAAAAGGGTGTGTGTGTGCATGTGTATGTAACCCTTTAGAGCTATCACCCCACTTGTGTTAGCTATGTTGACATTGCCGTTCATCATCCTATCCTCATCAAGGGTATTCAATCATGTTGTTACTGTAACATGCCTGATTGTGCTCATAGAATCAGAGTGGGGCGGACGGACTTGAACTTCCTGAAATTTTACGTGTAGCATTTGTGAGTGTAGCTTGGGAATTTCAACTTATGCAGATGTTCCTTTTCTGACATAATTGCTGAAGCCTATTATGCTCATCCATGTAGGTAAGACGGTCAACTTTGAGAGCTCTGCATCAACCTCTACACCAATTTATGATGAGGTGGATACATTGAGAGGGGTCAAAAGTTCACAGGATATTCAGCTAATGTCAAATGAAGCATATGCTCCAGTCATTAATACATCAGCAAATAGTGCTTATGGACAATTAGCCACACATGTTATTACACAGTAATTTGTACTCCTCTATGTTAGTGAGGAGAGGATAATTATTAACTACCTATAGCTACATATTGTTTGTTACAATGATCATTGCGACTAAGTTGTCTAAGCTAGTTAATTTGAGATACGTGCTGACTGATTGAAGGGTTGTGGAAAGGTGACAACTCCGAGTATTGCGATGAGCACAGTTATCACCCTGAAGTGTGTGATAAAGGAGAATCATTGAGACCTTGGAACAAGGCTAAGACGAGTTAGGTGGCATCTTCTTTCTTATTTTTAAAAATGTCCATACATGCATTTAATTGGCTATCCAGGGTCAAAGCCCTTCCCATATAATTTCCAATTAGCATAAAGTTTTCATAGTTTCATACAGCTACTTAGTACTGATTTTTGAGATAAGTAAAGTTACAACTCTAGTTGTTTGTGCACTTTTTAGTTTCATTCATTCACTATACTGAGATGTTATAAACTTGAGAGATGATCATAAAGAGCCAGTTTCTTTCTTACCTGAATTCGTGGGTGACGTTTAGAGCAAAGCTGGACTGGATACGCATTTACGGATAAGCGTTACTTTATCCCTCCACAATTTGCTGAACGGGGTAAACTTGGTTGAGGTAAGCCATTGCTGTGTTATGCATTGGCTCACTTGCTTTTATGCTTCGTAAACCTCTTGAATGCAGTCATTTCAGGAAAAAATTCTTGTAGCTGTGCAGGCATTGGTGTGTCTTATAGGTCATCTCTATAGTGCCAGAATAAGTCAGTCAGACAGACAGACAGACAACACAACCAAGTGCTGTAACCCTCGCTGCACATGTGCTCCAAGGGTAATAAATGCCAAGTCCACGTCTTGGTCAGGCTGTAAACCTACATTTTCTTTATGGAGCTAGTACAGGGTCACGATCATTCTTCTTACATACACCACTAGTTTGAGACCCAACCATGGAGGACTGGCACATCGTTTCACTCTAGACCATGCCTGGGTCAAAATCTCATTCCCCCTTGTGTTCTCAGAGATTTCTGGGATCTGTGATAGTTTAGCATTACGTAACCACAGGTTAATTATTATTTTCCCCATCCTTAAAGCTACATAGCTATTATCATGTTCACCCTGAGGTAGATCACCCGCCACTATATAGAAAGTAGCTATTTTAATTATGTGTGACGTGCTCCCTCCTGGCCACTGAGTCCTCAGAAGGCAGGAAGCCCTTTACTCTCTTGGCCAGAAACCTCCCACTAGCTCCAGGGTCATTCCTCATCACTTCTCTGCAGAGGAGAGATGGCTTGGCCCTCACTAGCTTCTCTCTCTCTCTCTCCCTCTATTACCTTTTTGTTGTTGAAACTTCTCATTGTATGTTACACAAGTACAACAATGAGGTGTGAGATACATACTAGGTGAAAGCCTACACATGTGACTACCATGTTGCGCATAAACACCTAGACTCACGTACATGTATATCACTATATTAGGATTCATAAAAGAAGGGCTCAGGGGGAGAGAGGGGTTAGAGAGTGATCAGGTTACTCTGTTCCTGGAGCACCAGTTTTGAAGGACTCCAGGAGAGATTCAGAGCTGATCATCAGCTCAAAGAGCCATAGCTCTCTCTGACGCTCACACCACCACACGGTGTTAGGTCTTAAATTAGTTGGAGTGATGTGGTGGGGGAAGCTGTATTTTCATGTGGGGAGGTCGATGGTGACTGAGGAGTGATGTGGTAGAGATGCCTCGATGAACTCTCCAAAGACCTTTAGGACACTGTCATGCCTCTCACTGTACCTCCGAAGGCCCATCGCAACCCGGCAAGTGTTGAGAATGTGAAGAAGAGACTGCCGGTGCTCTTGGCAAAGGATGCAGTTGTCCCTGTCTCTCTCTCTCTGTATCTCTCTCTCTCTCTCTCTCCATCAGACAGACTCCCACAAACTGTTTGTGGCATGTATCCCTCACTGCGCATGCGAGTCAAACGTTTTTTCACTCTTATTATAAAAACAATGCATAAATCACTCTCATTATAAGAACAATGCATAAATCTTTCAAAGCACAACAATAATTATTATGTTCATTTTGGGGCCAAGATTATTGCTATCAATAGGACGCCAATAACAATGATTATGTCCCTTACGCAGATTTGAATTCCAGCAATAAACAGCAACAAAAGTAGCAACTTCAAAATACCCATTAACTGGGAATTTTAAAATAGACATGAAATCTATCTTTCAACCCTCCAATAACATTCTTTTCTTGCCTTATATTTGTATACCCCAACCGATATGCTTCTGTTGCAACAAACATGTTGGTAAACATAACAAAATTGAAGAACTCGAAGTTAATTGGATAAAAGATAACAACAGGTGCGTTTAGGTTGGTGTATGTTTGCACAAGAAACACGGCACTACTGAAGCCAGCTAGAAATACGTATAGAAAAGAACGCCATCGAAAAAGTGTAAAACATTTAATGAAAGTATACGTCCTTGAGCTTGATATTTGAAAGGCTATATCCACAGCATATTCCTGGCAGCTATAACCAGAAGCCATTGGCTCATTCTCCTGGACTCTTTGCATGTGGGTCTCCCGCTCCTTACGCGTAACCCATCCAACGTGATGTAAGCTATACTTTTCTTCAATTGATTCCTTTGATTTTGGTTTGGAGAGAAGAGCTTCACCATGACCAGAAATTACAGCACCAACTGCATGTGTCACAAAATAACATTCGCTATTCTCGCACAAATAAGCCACTATCCAATGGGATGTTGTATCAGACGAAGCTTGTCACGAATTAATTGGCCAATGAAGAGCTTTGCATTGGTCTGCATGTGGCGTCCAATCACCATCCTCCAGACAACAAGGAAATACGGAGCGGCAAATAAATACGGCATGTAATATCCCAGTGCGGCTATGACCAAACACGAAGTTCCGAAGTAACGGTCAAACTTACGAAATAATAAAACTGTTCCAAGAAGGCAAAAAGAGATACTCATTGAGAGGGCAAACAAATCCATCGTCTAACTTACTGGCCAACGCCCTTCGAGATTTGATTAACTAGCACATTGCTAGCTAATAACTCCCATTACACACTACCGTAACCATCTTGAAGCTGTGGCCAACGCCACTGTGATAAATCGATGCATGAATCTAATCACACTAGCTACTCGGCAAAATTATTGAGTAATATAATAGTAGCTACTCCTAGCGAATTCACCACTAACGCGGTGGCCGACAACTACGCCGTGCGCTACACTCCTTTGGCGCATGCGCAGAAAGCGCAATACGCCGAAAAGATGCCATGGGGCCGGGCATCGGCCATCGGCCATCGATGCGTCTGGACAACTGGGATTACTACGAGCATTTTTATTCTGCTTTCGAGATGACCCTCGGTGCAAGAGGAACACGCGCGCAGCAGACGGAGTGGTAGTATGTAGGCGTTCTAGTGTCCACCTGCTTCAAGAAATTGCAATATCTCAGGCACGTTTCTGTGACATGAAGGAAGTGTCACAAGACAGACTGGAAGGAGAGGTAGCTGCAATGGTATCACACTTTGTGTGAATGTTCTGTTTGAGAAAAATTGTTTCTTGCATAATTGAAACATTGACACCTCAGTGAGGTGGACAGTGTTCAAATGTCGTCTGTATGAAGGAAACCACCAGCATAGAAGTCATTCACAGAGAGTCAGTCTTCAACATCTCAGGGGCTCTCTGTGAATGACTTCTTTACTTGTTGTTTCCTACATACAGACGAGGCGGAGACAGATAACATGCCGGAAGGGAATATAGGCTCTCCTCAGTTTAACATGCAGGAAGAGAATAGGCTCCCCTCAATTCCAACTGGTGTGGAAATCTGCCTTTGAAGCATCCTTGGACAGGTGGGAACCGGGTGATCTCAAACACAAAAGATTTTTTCAATGTTCCAGTGAAAATTCTTTATAGCTTCTTTTGGACTGCTAGTACGTGTTTTCACGGTCTTCAGGCGTTGAGGGTTTACCTCTGGCCTAGTAATGTAGCGAAAACGTTGAAGAGCGCCCTTGAAATCTCCCAGAGAGGTGCAAAAAAGTACAATACCAAATTTCGACCGTGCTATTATTATACGTAACCGCTCCTACGCAAAATTGTTAGCTAAACTTCCTGTAGAGTCGACGCGGACCGGGTCCGTTAGCTATAGCTACCGCTCAGACGCTTGCGCTGACAGTCGACTGTGTTAGCTATACACCGAAAGTTTCTCTTAAGAGATCCCCCGGCCATGCTGCACTGATCATTCACCTGTTGCAGGATGTTCCTATTGCTCAAAGACGGATGCAGGTGACCCCAGTTGCGCTGATGCAGTGCGTGACTTTATCGAACTGACCACTTAGCATTCTCATAATTATTATAGTGGTGCTTACAAGACTAAGTCTGTTTTGGATAGCCAAATTCAATCACTTCATACTGACTTACCTTCAAATCCTATTCACATGCTATCCTTACAGAATGGGGTACGGCTCTGCCAGTGTCTCTAAGTCTTCTCTTCTTGGCTCTGGTGAAGGTCAATTCTGAAACTGTTACTCCTTATCTCTCATTGCGGGGAAAAAATCTAACCAACCACTCATATGTGGATTTTTTTTGTATCTCATGGTATGACCGTGTACAATGTCACAGCAAGCTACGATATTGCTGTTGGACTTAGGGAAACTGGGTTTTCCCAAATGGGGACAAGTTTGACAAACTATTATTTGAATGGAATGTATCAGTACGGTAGATATCAGAGAGTTGACTTGATTCGGGATTCCCGGATTATGATTGCACCAAAATATGGCATATACCGCTGTGAGATTGCAGTCAATAGTGATAAACCGTCAGTTACCCAGTCTCTTTATGTTGGAATATACTCCAATGACACAGGTAATTTTCAACTTATTGACATTATACTTGATTGCATAGCATTGTTGGGGATTGTTCCTTGAATGGCTTTTTGTCTATGGTAGGGGACAGTATCAATGACAGAGAGATTAGAAAGTTTGAAGAGAGGCTAAATAGCAAAGTAAAGCTGTTTTTGTATAAGACATTTAACTAGGTGGTAGTCGAGTTCAAAAAGAACTTGGAAAAGTGATGCTGGGTCTAGATTAATGTTTAAGTTCAGGTCAGGCACGCATGGGCTAAATGAGGAACTGGGTAGGCATAGGGGGAGGGAGGGTATAAAGGAGTGCCTGTTGTGTGATGAGTGTGATGAGTGTGAAAAGTGTGAGTCATGTGTTGTGGGAGTGTCCAGCATATTATAGTAGTAGTCTTAGGAGCAATTTCTTTGTTGCCCTGCAGGGGAAGCTTGGGGATGTGTTTGAGCATTTCAAGTCACTCGGTAATAATAATAGGAGAGCACCCTTTATTATGGGTAGTGGGAGGATAAAGTTTGTTCTTTGCTTGGCCTATTCTAAGGTTCTATTTGGGATGTTTGGTAGCTTGGTTAGGTTATACGATGATAACCCCAGTGTACAACAGACCAAGTCTCAGATTGTGTCTGGGGAGCTGCAGGGTGTCCCTGGTGGAAGGTGAGTTGAGGTGTCTGGGAGGAGACAGACACCTCATGTTCATATGGTGTGTTCGTTCGTTAACAGTTCCTCCCATTGCTCTGGGTGTGTGGTCTATGGCCCTAGTGCTATGGCAGACACCTGAGTATTATTAATATATGCTATAGTGCTCCACTATTAGGTGTTTGTATCCTATAGGAGAAATAATGATTTCTGGTGATATAACAGTAACTGTGGACTCTGATCTGAATGGAGCCAGTCCAGAGTTTACCCTCACCTGTATCTCCACTGGTGGACCTGCTACCACTGTCACTTGGACCAGAGACTCCACCACTGTCACTGAAGGAAAAATGACAGAGCTAGTCAACACAAGAACAGCACAGTACACCCACACTCTATCTGTGACTGGGAGAATGCCAGGACTTTACAACTGCACAGTTGAGAATAACAAACCATCAAATGACTCAAGAAAATTATCTATTAACGGTACTAAACATAGCTATTACCTGTGCTTATTCTCTGACTTGTTGCCATAATAATATCACAGTTGCCTCTGCTCCCAATAAATTGAGAGCAGTGATTGGAAATGACTCCACTAGTATCAATTTGACCTGGACTCCTCCCACTCCACTGGGGGATACCACTGGGTACAGGATCTCCTTCACCGGAGGAGGGAACAGTAGTAGTGTGGATGTTAGTGGTGGCAACTACACACTGACTGGTCTTACGAGGGGAGAGATGTACAACATATCCATTGTAGGAATATCTAAACACTTCTTCAGTCAGAGTGTGGCATGGAACACAGTCACACTACCAGGTGAGTTTTAGTAAAACCGTAAGGTTGCGTGCAATTAAACCTATTCATTTTGTTTATGGTGGAGAAGAAAGGGAAGAAATGGATAGAAAAGAACAGGAAGAAAGGAAAAGTAATAGCAGACAAGGAGGAAATACTGGATCAATCGCTGCTGGAGTTTTAGTTCCTCTTATCCTGGTAGCTGTCAATGCTACACTTGTGGTTGTAACCCTAATCTGGTTGAACAGGTAAGTCATAATTATTTCGTGTTCATTCTCTTTTAGTCTGTGTCACAGGAGGTGTATCAAGGGACTCTTTGATTCTCCATCTGCAACCACTTCAACTACTAGTAAGACTGTAGCTTCATATTGTTTTTCTTAGACCTGGTGATAGTAGTGTGAGCTTAAGTCAAAAGAGTGCCGTCAAAAGAGAGTGGAAAGACCAACTAACTCAGGCCTAGAGAGTGCCATGGAAATTTAGCTCTCTCTTCCCCAGCACAGTTTCCAGGTCTTCACTTCATCACTATAGTTAACCACCAGTGGTCATTTGCATGCACATTCAGATAAATTCATATGGTGGCACATGCTTATTATCATGAAAATGTCCGACTAGACAATTATATTACCATTCGTGGTTAGCTGTAAGTGAGAGTGACCAGCTTTTTCTGGGCAGTACTTTGGCTTTCTGGACTCCCATGGTATTCTAATGTAGAGTCAATTACCTGCCCTCTTTGACTCAACTATAAGTTCTAAAACCAATGATTGTGATATCATTCATGTGTATGCTTCTGCAATGAAAAACTGCTTTGAATTGCAAGCCACGCAGTGTTTGGTTTTTTGACCTCCGTAATAATGTTTGTAAAAGGGTGTGCATGTGTGTGTGTGTATGTGTGCAGTGATTGTGTATAGAGCTATCACCCCACTTGCATTAGCTATGTTGACATTGCTGTTCATCATCCTGTCCTCGTCAAGGGTATTCAATTCATGTTGTTACTGTAACATGCCAGATTGTGGTCATAGAATCAAGTGGGGGAGACGGACTTGAACTTCCAAAATTTTTCGTGTATGCATTTGTGAGTGTAACTTGGGACTTTCAACTTACGCAGATGTTCTTTTCTGACATAATTGCTGAAGCCTATTATGCTCATCCATGTAGGTAAGACGGTCAACTTGGTGAGCTCTGCATCAACCTCTACACCAATTTATGATGAGGTGGATGTATTGAGAGGGGTCACCATTTCACATGATATTCAGCTAATGTCAAATGAAGCATATGCTCCAGTCATTAAAACATCAGCAAATAGTGCTTATGGACAAGTACCCACACATGTTATTACACAGTAATTTGTACCCTTCTATGTTAGTGAGGAGAGGATAATTATTAACTACCTATAGTTACATACTGTCTGTTACAATGATCATTGTGACTAAGTTAATTTTCATTGTTAATCTAAGCTAGTTAATTTGAGATACGTGCTGACTGATTGAAGGGTTGTGGAAAGTGACAACTCCGAGTATTGCGATGAGCACAGTTATCACCCCGAAGTGTGTGATAAAGGAGAATCATTGAGACCTTGGAACGAGGCTAAGACGAGTTAGGTGGCATCTTCCTTTATATTTTGAAAATTGATCCATGCATGCAGCCCTTCCCAATAATATACTTTCCAGGAAAAAATTAGCATAAAGTTTGCATAGTTTCATATAGCTACTTAGTACTGATTTTTGAGGTAAGTAAAGTTGCAACTCTAGTTGTTTGTGCACTTCTTAGTTTCATTCATTCATTATGCTGAGGTGTTATAAACTTGAGAGATGATCATAAACTAACCGTTAAATGAGCTAGTTTCTCTCTTACCTGAATTCGTGGGTGACGTGTAGAGCAAAGCTGGACTGGATACGCATTTACGGATAAGTGTTAGCTACTCTATCCCTCCACAATTTGCTGAATGGAGCTTGGTTGAGGTAAGCCATTGCTGTGTTATGCATTGGCTTTTCGCTTGCTTTTATGCTTTGTAAACCTCTTGAATGCAGTCATTTCAGGAAATCATTTTCATATTCTTATAGCTGTGCAGGCGTTGGTGTGACTTATAGGTCACCTGTAGTGTCACAATAAGTCAGACAGACAGACAGACACACAACACAACCAAGTGCTGTAACCCTCGCTGCACATGTGCTCCAAGCGTAATAAATCCCCAGTCCACGTCTTGGTTAGGCTGTGAAGCTGCCTTGTTTTTTTTATGGAGCTAGTACAGGTCATAATTGTTCTTCTTACATACACAACTAGTTTGAGACTCAACCATGGAGGACTGGCACATCGTTTCACTCTAGACTATGCCTGGGTCACAATCTCATTCCCCCTTGTGTTCTCAGAGATTCCTGGGATCTGTGCTAGTTTAGCATTACGTAACCACAGGTTAATTATTATTTTCCCCCATCCCTTAAAGCTACATAGCATTATAATGTTCACCCTGAGCACTGTGGTAGATCACGCACTACTAAAAAATTAAATATGTGTGACCTGAACATGTGACAACCATAGACACCTAGACTCGTAAACATGAATATCAAACAGAATCGACAAACACAATAGCTCTGAAGAAGAGTATGGAGAGGGAAGGGGGGAGAGGGGAGAGGGAGGCGGGAAGCCCATGTGACTGAGTTCCTGGCACACCAGATCCTATAGAACCCAGTAGTGTAGTCCAAATGACACTGAGTCAGAGTGTCGCGATATCTCGATGTGAGCAGCTGATGGCCGTTGCCAGAGGCTTGAGATCTTGGATGCCCAGCATCCCCGAGACCCCACCTCAACTGTTAACAGCTCTGTTTTATACCCCGCTGCCTTCCCAGCATCCACCAGATTCTTGTATTTGACCCTTTTCCGCTCTCGAGCATCAGCTACGTGAGACTCGTAGCTGATAGTTAGCTCAGAGCCACAGCTCCCTCTGGCGGACACTCCGCCACATGATGTCAGGTCTCATGTTGGTGTGGTGGGGGAAGTTGTAGAGATGTGTCGGGTGGTCAATAGTCAGGGAAAAGTGAGGAGGTAGAGAGGCCTGGATGAAGTCTCCAAAAAACCTTGAGGACTTCATCATCATGTCTCAGACTGTATATGCCTCCGAAGTACCATTGCAACCACAGCAGTTGTTGAGGATATGGATGAGAGACGGCCGATGTTCCTTGCACAGGTTGCAGGTGTCTCTGGTCTTCTTGCCCCACAGTGTGGAGGTTTGCATTGGTGGGGAGAGTGCCAAGAGAGGCATTCAGTGCAAACTTGAGAGGCTCTGGAGGTAGACTGTGCACTGCCTTTACCCACAGCTCAGGTGAGGTTTCCTCCCAAGACCTTGCCATCCCACATTGTGCAGGGAGCTGGCACAGAAACTGGAGTCTCTCGCCAAAGTGCGCCGACTTGTGGAACTGATCACATGACAGCAGATCATCCACAAACTCTGCTGGCCGGTATTTCGCCCTCAGACTCTTCTTCTCTGCCTCCAGATAGAGCTCCTCTGCCTTCCTCACACTCTGATCTTTTGATGTGAAGAGCTGCACCATCCGGGTGGCCTTCATTTTCTTGTAGAGGGTCACCAGAGAGGGAAGTGCAAGACTACCTCTGTTGCAGGGAAGAAGAGAATGGATGTTGTTGAGGATGAGGCTAAGCCTGACCACTTCTGGAGGGCCCTTGTTTCCATTGGCTGCAGCTCACGCTCCAGCCAGGAAATGGGGAATTCATCAATCATCTGTGGCCAGGACAGCCTGGGGCAGACTCCAAATTTAATAGCTGAAGCTTCTGCTTGCGAGCGAGGGAAGCGGTGTCAATGGCTTCAATCATCCTCTGAAGGTTTCCCAGGATCGACACTCCTAGCAGAGTCGTTGTTCTTGTTGACACGCACAGGCATGCCCAGGAACTTGAAGGAGTCGACCTGTGCAGGAGGAATGGTTTGGCCACTGATGGTAAGGATTTCCCCCCTGTCGACGCCTGGATGACCTGGGATCCGCACTTGGGCTTTCAGTTGTGCCCACTCCAGCCAATACCATGTCCAGTTGATGCTCTCTCTCTCCTCTCTCTCTCTCTCTCTCTCTCTTCAAA